CGTTTAAATCATGATTAAAATGGTTAAGAATTAAAATTATTAAGTGTTAAAGTGATTGAGAATTGAAATGATTAAGAACGAAATTGATTAAATGATTTAAATGATTAAAAATTAAAATGATCAAGAATATTAAATTTATTAAATGATTAAATGATTGAATGATTAAGAATTAAAATCATTACGAATTAAATTGATTAAGTGATTAAGAATTAAAATAATTGAGAATTAAATTGATTAAATGATTAAGAATTAAAATTATTAAGAATTAAGATGATTAAATGATTAAGAATTAAAATTATTAAGAATTAAGTTGATTAAATGATTAAGAAATAAAATTATTGAGAATTAAATCGTTTAAATGATTAAGAATGGAATTTATTAAATCTTAAAATGATTAAGAATGAACATTATTAATGCCTAAAATTATTAATTCTTAAAATCAGCTCTTACTAAACTTTCTACCACACAAATATCACTATTTCCGCTGAGAAAATATTGGCTGGCGTTTTCAGCGATTGTAAAAATGACTTTTGAACTCTTAAATTTTATGTTTCCCTTGTCCTAAGGCACCCCCTATGGTCGACGCAGGGCGCCCTTCGCAAATGTTACAACAGCAGTAAAGTCGCGAGACGTTAATAAAGGAAAGTTCGCCGGTTTACTACCAAAAGCAATGCCAGGGAGCAACTTTCGGTTGTCCTAGTTGTGTGCCACATGTAAAACATACCTCGTAAATTTGCCGAAAATACTCGCGGGGGAATGCCGAATTTATAACTCGTAACGGATAGCACAGCGCCGTTAAATTACCGAATGGGATAGGTCTAGGAAGCATTAAAATTTCGCAGGGACAAGTCGTTTGCATAGAGCAAGCTGTGTCACGAGACGTTACGACTCCTACGAGCTCTCGCGCGTATTTAAGGAACGCACAGTCTGGACGCACTCGGCGTACATCCTGTTTGCGTAAAACAGCAATATTCTCTTTGGCGCAGAAATATGGCGTTCTTTTAATGTCGACCGTCGTACGTCGAAGTGCAGCAATAATTGCGAAATTTATTGCAAATTTGTTTGGGATAAACATCGCATTTGTCACTCCGATGCTGAGAAATGTTATCGTCGATGATTATTTTACCGTTCAGCATGAACGATGATCTCGATGATGGTTCGATGATTTTTTTGACAATTTTAATAATTAAATGCAAATTTCGATTTAGGATGAAATTTACTGAAAATGTTCACCAATTACATCATTATTGCATCGATGGTAAAACAATGTTCCGAATGCATTACATTCCAATAACGTACAATAGGATTATACTAATTGATAGCAATGAACATTTCATTGTTCGTTTCATTTGTGTAATTTGATATAGTAAAATATAATTGAAATAATAATAGAAATAATAATATATAAAATATATATATGTATATAATAAATAAAATTATTATTTTCATTAGATCTATTATTGTAGATAAAATAGAATCGAATGAGAAAAATAACAATAATTATAATAAAATCGAATGAAAACGATAATAATAATTATAATAAAATCGATCATATATTAATTTGTGTCATGTAAAGAACAAAATATATTGCTAACATTTTCGAAATGTTCTATCAGATTTAAAACACTGATAGACGAAAGCAGAAACTTTCTATCCATCAAATCTCTTTTGCGCCGTGTTAAATCGGGGCTTCCTTAATCCTTTAATCGTGTTAGACTGAAATTCTGTTACAGAAGTGTCATTCTATCTGAGGACGTTAATTAATCCAAATGCAAGTGTCAGTTTGTAAGTCAGCAGTTCAAAAGTTATTATATATATTATATTTTAGTGGGTTATAGTCATAGTGCCAT